GGGGGTGTGGAAGCTTGGTCCACTCCACTCAGGAATTGCCGGCTTATATTGAGAAATTTATAAGATGATACTAATTTGGGTTCAGTTCAGACTTGAAAGAGATTGAAACCCAAGCAATATTTTGTACACAACATTCCACTCTTCGTTGGAAGTCGTACAGGAATGTTGGAATTACATTGAAATTATTCCCACGCTTCTCTCGTCACTTTTTTCAGCCAATAAATATGACTTGTCTTGGAGTCACCCACTAATTTCTCCCACCAACCCACTATCTACATGTACGTACTTTTCAATCTACACAAACTTATTACTGGAATTCAGTTAAAATTACATTAAACGAAAAAAATATATAAAATTAGTGGAAGTTGATGCATATTTAACGGTTTAAATAGAAACTCATTAGAGTGTATGTATAATTTTAATAGTTACTCCAATATTTATTCAGTAATGGGTATCATTATTATTTTAACCGTAAGGTATTAATCCAACAGTTATAATAAATTAGATAATTGACTAAAAAATTTATGATAATTAATATAACTAGATTCTTATCATGTCACATCATTAAATTTTTATATTTAGTAATAATCACGGATGGAAACGTAACCACTGAAAACTCATATATATATATATATATTTCATATTCTACTGTAAAAATCTCATGATTATAGTTATAGGGGAGATTACAGTGAATAGCGCCCTTTTAAAGCAAACTTTAAAAAGAATATATATACCTATAGTTTTGCTAAATTAAGAAAATGTCAATTTGTTTAAAAAAATTAACTTTCTTTAATTGTTAATTGTTCTTAATAAATTATTATTAATCAAATTATTAAGTCATACTTTAAATAAATGACGCTACTTTGCTAAATTAATTAAATTAATTTTTTAATCATTGATTGATTTTTGGTAAATTGTTGATTGATCTTGATAAATAATTGTTTAAACAATTTTCCAAAAGCATATACTTTAATATAGTTTTGCTAAATTATGAAGATGTCCATTTTGTTTCAGAAAAAAAAGACTTTAGAAAATCGCTGATTAATCTATGGTAAATTATTGATTGCTTTTGGTAAATCATTGATTAATCAATTTGAAAACATACTTTAAATAATATGTACATGTCCCCAGTTTTACTAAATTTATTTATTTTTTTTCAAAAATTGACTTTATTAAATCGTTGATTGATTTTTAATAAAATTATTGATTGATCTAGTATATTATTAATTAATCAGTCAAGTTTATCAATATGTCTAATTTATTTCTCAATCACCTTTTTTAAAAAAATTGACATTTTTTATAATCTAAGAAAATGAGGGATATTGCTAATTGTATACACACATATATCTTATATGGGAGGATCCAAAATGATGACCGCCAATCGTCATGTTTTATTTTAGTTTTCTTCTCTCTATTCTTTATGTAACGTAGATTTTATTTTGGCCATGATAAGAATATATAACCTGCTTATATTTTTCTTGTTTTCTCTATGTTTGTTTCGTTCCTCATCTTATTGGTGGGGTGGGGTCATATGCCGAAACGCTATATTAATGGATACTTTCTTTCAAATTTGAAAAACATTTTCGGTAATTAGTGGTTTGAGAACTGACTGACGGTAGTCTGATTTGGAATCATGCAACGCCAAAAATTAATTAGTGATCATGTGTGTTAAACTTTTTCAATTTTTTTTTGGGATTAGGGTTTGCTCATAATTGCTGTATCCACCACTTCAGCTAGCCGAACGCTCAAACCCATTACATTGCCTCAATCGTGGGTCTCTTCTCACTATTAATCAACTTTTTTATTTCTTTATTTCATATTATAAGTACCTATATAAAAATGATTAGAAGTCTCCTCATAAAAAATTAATAAGTCTTTTATACCTAAAAGTTTCTTTCATATATGTAAAGGAGAAAAAAAAAAAAAGTCTTTCTTATCGTTTCGGCAACTTGTGCATGCTTTGATATAAAATCATATAATTGGCAGTGCTGTTTAAAAAATGTCAAAAAAGATGCTTTGTGATGTTTAAAAATATCATTATGATATCCCGAAACTGTTATTCAGACAATAAAATGTCCAATTTACCATTTAAGTTAATAAACCCGCTAAATAAGACAATAAACAAAAAACAAAAAACAAAAAACATTTTCCATGCACGCGCAGTAATCTGGTGACCAATTACATTATGTCATTATCTCACCTAAGAAAATGTCGTGTTAAGGGCAAAATTTGAGGTAATGAAACTGAAAGCATTCCGAATCCGATGGCAAAATATAGGTGCATATATATATATATATGTATTATACAAGACTAGAAATGAGGAAAATGATCCGCTAACACAGAAAATTAACAACAATATGATAATAAATTAACCATGATACATCCACGATCACATCGTAAAGAACCAGCCTACCAACTTAAACCACTGGTGGAACTACTGATCATCCATATGTTTGCGTGTGTCAAAGTTGAATGAAAAATGTTGTTTACCCCTAAATCATATCATATAGATGACTCATGAGTATTAATATTGTGCTAATTAATTAATGGTATGACCTTACCATAAGAAAGTTAACCCATGATAGATTAGTGAGCTTATAATAATTGAGGTTTGTTCTTTAAAAAAAAAAAAAGGTCATTATATGGTCATGATCGCTTATAATGATTGAGGTATGTTCTTAAAAAGAAAAAAAAAATAAAAAAGAGATCTATATGGTCTATATTCCAACATGAGATTAATAGCTAATATTGCTGAATTTAAAAGCAGGAATTACGAGCCAAAAAATCTTATTCCAATAACATGATGATATATCATATTGTACGAAAATTAATGTAAGTGGTAGCTAGCTTGGTGGGGCGCCCTTTATGAGTAGCCTTTATTAATAATTGTTCTCATTATCTTCGGAATCTTATTGAATTATGTATTGTGGGGCTAAGATAGGTGGATACTTTTGGAGTGAGAACAGGATTAGAATCTTGATCGACTGTAGGCCAGACAAGACAAACCTTCTAAGTGCTAGCTGTGGATGAATGCTGGAATCTGACCCAGAATATGAGAGAGAGAGAGAGAGAGAGAGATTTTGATGGGTTAACTGCTTGTCATCATACAATTTCCAACAAGTCATCATATTTCGGAGAAAATGACGTCTCCTTTCTTGTTACAGAGCCCCACTTACAACTTTTTTTTTTTTTTTTCATTTCCCACTTGGTGTGAGAAACATGATTGGAATGGAAAAAGAAGAAAATTAGACGTGCTCAAATCATCTTTTATGTAATAACAGACCAATTGTGTACATACTCATTAATGTACTTTAAACAAGATTTGCCTATAAGTTATAATTAAAGATTATTGGCTGCCACGTCTGTCGTTATAGAGGCACAAATTAAGTTCTGACATGCCTTGTATCATATGAGTTGCCATTTGAGCAAATTACATGGCTATTTTTGACTGATCTACATAAGGACAAAAATAATGTAACTTTTTATATGTCCATATGTTATATCATGTCATTTCATAATTTAAGAGTACTAAAGCATATATTTTATATTAGCTGTTTAAGGCCTTGTCTTCGAAAAGTCGACGTATCTTTCAGACTCTATGACCTATTGTTATCGTTGCATTTTTTTTTTCTTTGTATTCAGGCTCTTAAGATCTTATCTTTCATGTTGCGTGCATTCCCCAGATTGTACATGGACATATGCATGTCTAGTTTGAGAGTCAATCGTCACAGCTCCGTAGCTAGTACAGATTGGCCGTAGCTAGAACATATATTATTACGTGTCCACTAAAGATCGTTTCTTGTTTTCCCGAATTTTTCTGAAATATTCGTCTATATAATAGTACTAGCTAGTTGAGATATAAGTCTTGTATATATATATCTATACCCATTATAATCACATAAAGAGAGAAGGAGTCACGTATATTTTTTTTATCTCATTTGAAATTTTAAAATTTTATATTTGTTTCGCCTAGTTCATTTGTCATTTTTCATATTTTCGACGTTTATATTTTTCGATCATTTTACTGACGCCCCATTGAATTATTTTTCTGGTTCCATCCCTAATCACATATATATATCAAGTCATATGTACTACTATACTAGTGCAATGCATTGCTATTATTTAGAGGGTTTTATTTCAATCGGAGATGAAGTCCCTCTCAACAATTAACAAAATCATATATATGAACAGGAAAACCAATACTAATGAAGAGAGAAAGTTGGTTCATAGAAATATATATTTGATATTTTGATCGATCTCTCTTGCAAACTTCATTAACTGACAATACTTAAATAGATTCATATATATGTTTCTCCATAACCCTAATCACTCAAGACCTGAGCTGACTAAAACCCCTTTTTAACTTAAGCATTTGATTAAAGCTAGCTAATTGGTCCTGAGCCAGGCGCATATACCCAACTCTTATTTATAAATACAATTACCCATTACTTGTAATATATAATTAATTAGTTACAGCCACCAGGAGCAAACCCAAGCCTTGCTGCACCGACGTCATACACCACCTGAAACGTGAGCTGCTGGACATTCCCAAATATCGCAATGTCATCGTCTTTGTCGTTCCCGGCAAACGCCAAACAGAATCGTTGAGGATTTGACACTCCAAATAAGGTATTTTCCGGCCCCAAATCCACCGAAGTCCCGCCGCCGAATAAGAAAGTTATGTTCGGAATCTCAACCGTTCCATTAGCGCTCCCGCTAAAATCATAGCACGTGTCGAGGAGTCTATCGCCGGAAACCAACGGATAACGACTCATGTCCTTCCGAAATTCCGTTCTCAACGCGTCGTAAACCGCCGGCGGCAAGCGACTTATAACCGTCCCGGAATCGATAACCGTCCCCGACTGAAAAGCCGTCGCGGGAATCTCCAGTCGACGTCCGCCGACGCTGATCCCGACTAAATTGAGCACGTAGAACGACGAAAGCCCGCCGGAGGGCGTGAGCAGAGGAGTGTACTGTACGGAGCCGCCGCCGCCGGAGTTGCCGAAGGTTAGGTAACCTGAGGAGCTGGTTGTGGCCGGGAGGCAGTAGGAGAAGAGGCGGTTGTACTTTTGGGCGGCTTGCTCGACGATGGAGATTTTGTTGCGGCCAAGTCCGAGCAACCCGGCGGCTCCGCGGAATAGTCCGCCATTGTTTTGGCCGCAGCCAAAGAGGAAGTTGTTTATCTCGTCTGATTCTAGCGTTAGTGTTTCTTTAGCAAAGTATCCTTCGGTGTAGGATCCGTCACCGTAACCTTCGTCGTATGTGCATGTCGATGCCGTCCTAGAACATGCCGCTGTACCTGAAAACGACATAAGGTTCATGTTTTGATTCTATTATCATGTGTAAGGTGGAAGAAACGACATAATAACATGAACACGATAACAACCTTTAAATGCAACCCATAACCCAAAATAAAAATAAATAAATAAATAAATAAACGCAATAGGTCGACAAAAACACCAATTTAAAAACGACATGAAATGAGAAAACGACAAGTGCCTAAAAAGAGTAGAAAACGACAACAATCAAAAGATGACACCACATAGAAGGAAAAACGATAACAACGTGAAAACGACAAGGACCAAATGTGTCAAGAAAATGAAAATAAGAGTGGCATACAACCCTTAGAAAGCGACACCTGTTATACAAACTTCAATAATCTCGAACGTAAAATGAAGAATAACCTAAAAAGACGCCAACTAGAAAACAATTGAAACCATATTCATCTGTCCATATATATATATATATATATATACACATGTGTGTGTATAGATTAATCCATCCGCACACATATATATATATCTATTGAAAGAAGTAAGCAACTGAAAAAAAAGGCATAATCTGAAAAGGACAGAACATAGAAAATGAATAAATAAATGAAAGACGGCAATTAATAAAAATCCAACAGTAACCTGAAAATAGAACAATGTAAAGAAACGGCATGAAACATGGAAAACGGCACAAGTTAAAAAGCTAATTAATTAGAGCTGAAAATAAAAATGGGAAATTTATATTTTTATACCCCATATTTTACATTTATTCAAAATTTATATTTTAAGTTTTTAATCTCATTAAATATATACTTTCAAATTAAATTTGTTATAAATTTAACAAATCTATCGGTCAACAATTAATTTTAACCTTTAAAATGTATAAACAATTTAAACACTTCCAAACTACACAAAAGCCCTCAAAACGGCAGCTCTCTCTCTCTCTCTCTCTCTCTTTCCTCGATAAGCAGGCAGCTCTCTTTTTATATTTTTTCCCCCCGGACCTACTCAAAATATGTGTGTGTGGAAGATTACCTGTGGAAGATTTGAGTTGAGAGCACTCTGTGGATGTACAGGAGACGGTGGCGTAAGAGGTGGACTTGGAGGGATCAAAGATGGCCTCGCTTTGCTTGTAGCAGTGGCCGTCACAGGGCTGACACTGCGTCCATGTGAGGTCGCTTCCGGTGTCAAATATAAGACTGAGGTCCTCTTTTGGCGTCCCAAGCCCCACCTTCACTATGTAGTCTCCAGAGCCGATGACCGCCCCGGTCTTGGCCGGGAGGGTGGTGGCATCTTGTTCATATATCGTGTCGTTGGCGGGGGCCGTGGCGGTCGATTTCTTCGGACGGTGGGAGTTGATCCAGTTGACGCGGGCTTGGTCTTGCAGGTGGATGTCTTGAGCGTGATCGACATTGTTTTCTTGATGGAGTTGGGAGCACGGGCCATACTTGTGTATCACTTCCAGAGATGCCTTGTCCTTGGGAACTGAAATTTGTAATATCATCGTGACTTTTATCAATGAGAAAAGTTGTATGCATATTCCAAACTGAAATTAATGTATTACTTTCCTAATTCCTAAACTAATTGAGCAAAATAGTATAAATTAAGGAGACAACATCACATATCAATTATTATGACCATGAATTAACAGGTTGCCGGTCATATAGTCAAACCTGTTTTCTTGAAAATATTTTTAACTAAAAGCGTATGCTCCCCCACTGAGTTGGTACCTTTCAGTTAGCTATATTCTATTACTTGAATTTATCATGTATTTCTCTCCTCCGAAAAAGGAAAAAAATAAAAAAAAAAAACAATAAGTTTTCCAAATGAAATCAATGCGAGAAAAAGAAATTCAGATAAATCAAAATCCACTAGGACAAACATGTGTTAGTTTATCAGTTTTTTCTTAAAATTTAACCTGTTAGGAGGCGAGACAATTGCAATATTTTTTTATGCTAACATTATTTTGATATTTGTGCAAGTGACTATTGATGGAAAGAATTCCTACATGCATCTCTTTTAGCCAAATACGACAAATAATTGCATGTATATTACACACACACACACACACACACACACACACATATATATATATATATATATATATGAAGGTGCATTATTAGACAATTAAACAACAGTAAAGAGGGGCCTTAACCTGTTGAGGGGTTGCAAATTGAGGAAGGCAGTAGAGAGCTGAATTGAACAGTATGAGTATGTTTAGAAATGTGACTTAAGGCAAAGCCCTTCTCGAAAGAGAAGAGAAGGCATAGTGATAGGAAGTACGTATTGTGGAGGAAGAAGGAAATGCGAAAAGCCATTGGAATATTATTAGGTTCTCCTACAAAAGTATTCCACTCTTGAAGCACACCCTTAGTTTTATAGCAAAATATTGGACAGAATGCTATATATGTTCAATAATTCTGTCGAAATATAGGTCAACGTAACACGTCGCGTTTATATTCTACAAATTAAACAAAGCAGAAATTGACTAGAATGCCACTTGCTCTTTACCATCTTTCCAAAAACATATGAAGTAAGTTGACGTTCTCCGTAAGTAGTAGACACGTAGTTCCCATAAAGATTATATTTTCTGCTTGTAATTTACAAAGCTAACGAAACTTCTATGTAGTTCCTGTGTCCATCCCTAAAATTAGTGACAAATACCTGGATTTAGAGTATCTTTACCGATTACTCTTAATTAATATCCCTTTTATTCAAATAACTATATTAGTCAATATGGTATTAATCAAGAGTAAGGGGTAAAAATTCACACCCATGTACTTGATAAGTTCAACAATTTTCTCATAAATAAATAAACATGAATGATGAAACTAAACAAGACTTTCTTTATTCATTGGAGCATTTTATTGATCATCATAATGTATCAATAAGAAACTAATTATATCTATTATTTGGATTATTGTTAATAATAATGATTCGATTTCTAACAATAATAACAAACCAAATTATTTCGTTAACAATTATTATATCTTACTATCTTAATCGTCCTGATCTCTTGTTCATGGGTGCCTCGACGAACTTATCTTTAACTCATATCTCTTCAAACTAATTTAGTATTGAAGTTTTAAACACTATAGGGCTTGTTCTTTTGAGTGAAAAACTCAAAAAAAGTCAACTCGAGTTACAATTTTATTCGAGTTCATGTTCTTTTAAGTTCAAACTCGAGTTTAGGACTAAAACTCGAGTTCAAGTTTTCCCTTCAACTCGAGTTCAGAAACTCGAACTCAAATTAATGAACAGTATTTTTTTAATTCTTAAAAATGCTATAACTTTTTCGTTTTAATTCTGATTGAGATGATTTTTTTTATATGCGTTGACAACGAAAAGATGAATAAAACCCGACCCATATACCCTATTAAAATTTTTCATCAGCATTGAGTTTTTATTAAAATACTATCTAAATACAAATTCAAGTTTTGACTCACTCAAATACAAACTCAAAAAGATTCTTATCTCAAACCATAACTCAAATGTATACAACCAAACACAAACTCAAGTTACAAGTTCAACTCAAGTTATAACTCAAATTCAACTCAAAAATTATACTCAAGTTAAACTCTAAAAAAACAAGCCCTATATTTCATCTTCAGGTACTATAACAAACAATAAATAAATAATTAAATGTATATAATAAGTTATATGTGTGTGTAAACTTTACTTTGTTCCCAAAAAAAAAGGTACAAGTCCCACTTGTCAATTGTTAATTGTCATTAATTAGTTATGCAATGTGAAACAATGATTTTCGAAGCGCCGCCTACTCATATTTCTTTGTGTGAGTTTGCTTTAATTAGTCCAGTCATAAAAAAAAACAAAATAAACTCCTTACTCAGCACGTCCTGACTCTTTATTCAAAAGTTAAAAGCTAGGATGAGAATTTTCCACCTTTTTATTCATCAGCTTTAATAAATATATCACCATATATGTGTAGAATTCTATCTTTCTTGCCTTGACTAACTGTGCATGCATGTGTTTTGTTTCGATCGATTTTCATGTTATCGAAGAAAGTTATGATTTGGCCATGAAAAAGAAAAATCTGATTGGATAATGTATTTATTTTATTGTTTTCTCATCTGTCTGTTTCATTCGAGTCCTGCTATTTGTCGGATGCTTCTGTGCTTCCGTTGAAAAGATACACTTTAGAAAGTTTTTCTGTCACACAAACGCGTTAATTATGGAAAAGCTAGGACGTCTATCTTTCTTTTCAGACGTTTTCTTTATTCATTTTAGAATTATTATATATCTAAGTAATTACCCTATAATTTAAAATTATCTTTGTCTCTAAATTAAATGAGGTATAGAGTTGGAATCCTTTCACTCTAAAAATCAATACGTATCTAAGCTCGCACTATCCCATAGATGAGGAGTTATGTTATATAAAATAGAAAAACTATAATGGTATTGGTCTAGACAATTATAAAGGAAAGAAATTATAATTATCTGGAAATTTGGCACGTCTCGAGGGTTGATCAATTAGTCATGTCAACTCATTAATGTGAAAGTGAAACAAATTTATTTATTTTGAAACTATGCATCACTAGGTACTTCTCCGCCTGATTTCCTTTTTGTGGAAGATCATTAGGTTCACTCCGCTAAAGACTTGCCGGTCCTGGAAGGGATTCTAGAATTCGGATTTACATAATGTAATAATATAAAGAGAGACTTTCTCTGGTATGGCCACTTTATTGATAGACTTAGAAACCACAGCCCTTCTGTCGAGAGGACAAAATCCATCCTTTTTATAAAATAGAATCTTAGGGATGCCTTGCAGTTGAAGCCTCTGGGCTTAGCCCTACTATGACCGAAGAAGACGATTTACTAAAGATAAAGAAAAAAGACTCCATGAGCCAGTTACGCCACTTCAGCACAAGGTCTTGAATAGCCTATACGAATTCTCACAAGGAGAGAGACGACCCTTCCAGAATGGTCGGGACACTAAGCTCTCTCCCTCCTATTCGTTCGTGCTTCACACCCGTGAATCACTTCACTCGCTAGTTTATTCTTTTCTTTTAAGTTTCAGGGGGCACATCCCCCCGAACCCCCTGTCTTTCTCTTTTTAGTTTCAGGGGGAAGTATCCCCCCAAACTCCTTCTGTTACACCCAATATCTTGTTCTACTGGATTTCTTCCTTCCCTCATTCGTGCTTCACTCCTGTGAATCACAGTAAATTTTTTATCATTAGATCTGATTAAAATTACATTATTAAAAAAATATGCAGAATAAATAATTTTTGATACAATGCAATGGTTGAAACTAGAGAATTATTATTATTACATTTTTTTTATCCTCTAAAAATACACCCTATTGGTAGGGTAAATTTTTTACCTTTAAAATTGGTTAAAGTCACATCATTAAAAAAATAGGTAGAATAAACTATTTTTAATATAAATCTATCGTCTGAAAGTAGAGAATTACTAGTAGTTCATTTTTTTTTTTATACTCTAGAAAAACTCATATCATTTAGGGCTAGTTCTCAAAATTAAAATCTTTAATATGAGTATAAACCAAGCAATATTTTTAAACCAATATTTCACCCTTCGCTAGAACACTACTAGAAAAATTGTGCTTATCAACACAATCAAAGAATTTGTAAATTCTCCGAGGAATCGGGAATTATTTCTAGAGTAAATTCTCCTAGGAATCGGGAATTATTTCTAGATGCTACCGTAGTGTCGCTAAAGGCATCGCTGGTGTTGGTATATTAATTAACTGTAAAATATAGTGCTTGCACTGAAATTTTGATACTTGGAATTTATATATGCCGCAAAGTCTTAATCCTTATTTGCAATTGACTTAAGATTTCTGGGAACCATTACTGGCGTACATACCTGTTGACGGTCAAATTTCGTCAACAAAACCGTACCAGGTTACCCCGCGGTATCCCGCTTGGTTACCGGTTTGAAACTAATATTTTTGCTAGATATGAAAGTGTCGTTGTATTTTTTGGTAGGTTACTGAATATAAATGCTATATCTCATGCACTAAACAAAAGACACGGATGTTTTATAGTGGTTCACCCTTATAAAACAAGAGCTACATCCACTGTAGTATATTTCACTTCTTTGGTTCTTTATAGATTACATGAACAAATTCAGGTCCAACCCCTTCTCTTAGGGGTTTCCTTCTATTTATAGCCCAGATGCATCCTTCCTCCCACTATGGGCTTCCTCTAGACTTTTTTCTTTGGCGGTTTTCCTCTGGCCCACTCACTCGAGTGGGCTACCATCTTGCCTGTCAATCTGTAGCCTACCAGTATCCGTAGGACTGTTCACTCACCCAATTTGTCTCCCTATTACGGCTCTGTAGATCATCTGTAATGTCGATTGATTTGCTCTAGGCGGTTTAGGGGGTTTGTAATCATTCCCTGCACATCTGACCTCGCCCAACTCCAGACGCCACCTTGGGATTCCAATGTGTCACCTCAAGGCCCTTTCTCGGGGTATGGGCCCTGTTGCTCATGGCTTACCCTCGGCGCCTGCGCTCTAAGGCGCCGACCCTATCATAGCACTTGGCATCTGACCGGGCAAATAGAGTCGACGGTATACCTTCTGTGCATTCGGTTCTCGCATTGTCAAGAGGGAAAAAAATATTCTTGGGCATCGAGGACTATATGGCGTGACAGGTACTGGACCACGGATAGCATGGTCATTATCCGACGTGTCACTAGATTTTCCCACACAACAATACCTATATACATTCGTCCTAGTACCGTGTATTATTTATTTTAATTCATTTTTTTCCCCTAAACAAGTACCGTGTATTAGTGACTTGCAAAGTCTTGATTTTTTTTTTTTTGAAAGTACTTGCAAAGTCTTGATTATGTATACAATATCTTATATTATGATGACGTATTAAACATTTAAACTATATAATTATACGTAAAATATACGTACACATCCACATATGTAAGAATTCCCATCGTCTACAGCCCCCTTTTTTTTTTTTTTTTTTTGGGTTTTGAAATGCGTCTACAGCTTATTCAGTACTACAATGCCACAGCATTTGGAGCTACTAGTAAAGTACTGCTTAATTCTTAAGACGGTCATGATTAGCAAGCAGAAGGGCTAAAACCCACCCTTTCTTTACCAACATCGTACGCCACCTCCCACTTCAGATGCTGAAAGTTTCCGAAAATCCCGACATCCGAATCGTCGCCGTTTCCGGCCAATGCTAAACAAACCTGGGACTGGCTCACTGCGTAAATTATCCCCGACACATCCACCTCCACCTCAACTCCGCCGCTGAAGAAGAAGCTTATCTTCGGAACAAAAACCGATTCGACACCGGTGAAATCGTAGCAGGTGTCCAGTATCGAGTAGCTCTGCGCCGCCTTGTAATCCGACATGAGCTGCCGGAACGCCTTACGCACAGCGTCGTAGGCCTTCGGCGGCAGGCGCGTAATGACCGTGCCGGAGTCGATGACCGTGCCTGCCTTCGAGAAAACCGACGCCGTAATAGGCAGTGTTTTCCCGCCGACGCTTATTCCCGTCATGTCAAGGCCGTAGAATTGGGTGTCCTTGGTGAGAGATGACAACGGCGTGAACTTGAAGGCCTTTCGGGGTCTGCGGTAGCCGAAGGAGAGGAAACCGGTCGAGCTCCGAGAAGAAGGAAGGCAGTAGGAGAAGTAACGGCCGTACTTCTTGCCGGATTGGAAGATGAGAGAGAGTCTGTCTCGGCTGAGGCCTAGGAGTCCGGCGGCGCCTCTGAAAAGGCCGCGGTTGTTTTGGCCGCAACCGAAGTAGAAGTTTTCGATGACGTCGGAGGATGTTAAGGTCAGCCTTTCTTTGCTCAGATATCCGACAGAGTATGAGTTATCCCCGTACTGTACGCCGTACTCGCATGTTGAGGTAATGCAACCGGGTGAAACGCCTGATTAATTGATCATGACACAATGAAAATGCTATTCACACATAAAATAAAGAATGAGCTTTCTACGATAGAGGATCGTGCGTGTGTCTGTGTGGTTTTTCTAATGGAAATCAAGATTACCCACTAGAAAAATTATCTATTTCGACATTGGCTGTGTTTTGATAATCATCTGTGTGAGATTTATTAATAATGCATAAGGTAATTTAATAAAACTATGAGTATATTTGGATTCTTGACTTATTTAATTAAAAAGTTAATTTTAACCGATTTAGATGGACAACCTTAAAATATTTTTAGTTTTTATAAACTTTTTTAAAACAAGTCATCTTCTTGTATTTACATTTATAATCTTTTATTTATGAGCAACAAATTGAAAATTCTATTCATATTCTTATATTAAATTACTTTTTATAAAGTGTTTTTAACTTATTTACCCAAATATTATCAACAAAAAAACTTATTTATCTAAATATGTTCAAAAACTCTTTAAAAATAAAAGAGTTTTTTTTTTTTTCATATACTATAAAACACTAATTAAAAAGTCTTAATTTATACTTTTTTTCTTCTACTACTTAATAATAAAAACACAAGCTTTCTCAAACAAATCTTATGTGTCGTAAGGGGGGGAGCAGCTTTAAGCCTGAGGGTCTAGGCTCAAGGGGCTCCTTAACTTTTGCCTTTCAAAAAAAGTTTTTTTTTGTTTTTGTTTTTTTTTTTTGGCGCTTTTCCTTTTAATTTGCTACATGAGATATTTTATAATTCCAGCTTTGCATATGTTTTCTAAAATATTTTCTTTTATTGCCCAAATTTTAATTTCACATATACTCATTTTTCATAAAAATTATAAATGTTTAGATTATACCTTAAATTTTGACTTTTAAAAACGCTAATGATTCAAACCTACAATATTAATAGAAACAAAATTAATTACACTACTATATAAATTCATAATTTTATAAACTTTAAACTGTAAAAAGAAATAAAAGTTAAAAATAGATTAAGAAAACGAAAAGAAAAAAGAAATATTAACAGAAAAAAGAGTAATACGGTGATTTTCCTTCAAAATTTTGATTTAGTTCTGGCAATAAATTTTTTTTTTTAAGAATAAAATTTTCTTAATTTAGCAATTCTAAGGACGTCTACTTAAAGTTAAAATTAGGCACTACTTATGACAGAAATCTAATAATAGAAGCATATATGTTAGAAGATCATAAGGGGAAATAAGATGATGACCTGTGGTTGATTCTAGAGCATTGCACAGTTCGGAGGCACAGCTAACGTTGGCATAGGAAGTAGATTCCAAGGGTTTGAAAATCGGTTCCTTTTGTGCGTAGCAGTAGCGCACACACGGTTCACACTGAGTCCAACTGAGAGCGCTTCCAGTGTCAAGTACTAGCGAGAGTTGTTTCTTTGGAGTGCCTAAACCCACAGTGACGATGTAATTGCCGGAGCCTATGGTCTGACCAGATCTTACCGGAATGGCACTCTTAGTCGACTTCGGGCCTCGGAAACCGGGATCGCCGGACCTTTTTGACAGCTGGGAGTGGATTGAGTTCACTCGAAGTTGATCTTGCTCAAGGAGCTTGATTTCATCACTTGCACTCATTTTCTGATCTCCAAGTTGGTTTAGATGAGAGCATGGTCCATGTTTGTGTACCACTTTCAATGTAGCCTTCTTGTGATGCGGAGCTGAATCCAAAGTAGTAAAGCATTAGGGAATAGTAAAACAGCATTAGAGAAAAAGGAACTTTCCTTTTCAACAACAATAATAACAAGCCTTAATTCCAACTTAATTCGGGTCGGCTATATAGATTTCACTTTTCCACACAGTTCTGTTCGAAATTAAATTTTCCTAAAGGCCTAAATCTAGAATGTCTTTCATAATGACTTCGGTCCACATAATTCTTAGTCTACCCCTCCCTCTCCTATATTAGGTATAAAAATGTCTTCCCAAGCATGAACGGGTACTTTTAGTGGTCTACGTTAGACATGCCCGTACCATCTCAAGCGGCATTCGCGCACCTTATCTTCTATTGGTGCTACACCTTCTTTATTACGAATAACTTTCCTTTTCGTTCAAGAAAAATAAAAAGAAGAAAAGAAAAGGATTCCTCTTAAAATTAAGGTTATAAAAAAAACTCCCAATTGGTGAAAAATACTTCGAATTGCAATATCTTTTCATTGACATTGTGAGCTCTTTACCATATTATTACCCAATAAAACACGTATGCTCTAGTGCTTTAGTAGTGGACTTTGTTTATATTAAAAACAAACTATTTTAAATCAAGCATTGTTTTATTTATTTAATCTCATTTTTAATAAAACGTAACGAATTAATGCATGCTACAGATACGAACCCAAATCATGCTTCTTATATATATTGCGGTTTAGAGAGTGAATTTTCACCGAACCAATTTTAAACAAAGATATGCACTTCATTAAAATTTGGCCACCAAACAGTATATATTTATACATGCACATGTACAGATTATTTACGTTACAATATATTTATCTGACCTTCAGTGATGGGATTGCAAACATTTGATGCAAGAAGAGAGCTGATTTTGACGATATGCGGACGATAACGATGACGGGTATCTGCTGTGTCTTTTCCTTCTTCAAGTGCATATCCCTGGCATACGAAAGAACAAACAAGAAATAAACACAACAGGAGGAAGATGGAGGAGGTTATGGTATTGATAGCCATATTGGATTGCTTTCTTGATGGTGTACTTTGGTTATGTTTTGGTTCTACTTTTATAAGCCAATTTATTAGCCGTACAGGTACAGTATATAATCATGATCATTTGATCCACTATGGAAGTAGAGAAAAACTAATATTAAAAGTAGAAAATTAGCTCTATTAGAGTTGAGGATAAAAGTATAAATTTGTAAATAGAGCACTTAGTTGGGAAAATTATTAGATTAGTTTTTCTTTTTGTTTGTTTGTTTTTTTCTTCTACTGAGCTAGAGCTTTTGTAACAAATTCGTAACAAACCACTGCTCCACCTTTTGTATAAGTTCTTTTTCCTCTTTGACATTTCTTCAAGCAATGAGATTACTTCATTTTTTCATATTCTTTCTTCTATATTATTACTTCATTTTTCCATATTCTCGATCTCTTCTATATTTTTCTCCTTTTCATAATATGGTATCAGAGAAAATAACCTCTGCCATTCTCTGAAGGTATTCCTTCATCTCGCCTAATGACTAGAGGTAGCAACAGCGGCGGCAATCGTGTGGTTGTGGGAACGTCAACTCCTCCAGTAATAGAGGATTCTGCTAGCCCCTTTTTCTTGCACAACAGTGATCACCTAGGCATTGTTCTGGTTTCCAATCCCCTCACCGGATCCAACTACAATATTGGTGGGAATGGTGTCCTAGAAGCATAAGATGTAATATGATATTTATTATTTATTTAATAAAATAGTTTATTAATTATTTTATGTGCATATATTTATGAATATCAATAAAAATTTCATGGTTATTTATGTAACCTTAAACATTGTATAT